ATGTTAAAGTAGTTTGTTCAATCATACACTCTGTGCCTAATTAACTTGTTCAGACAAACAGGCTGATAGAAACAAAACTGAAGTATGGTTTCAGTTATGGTTTTCATTCATGTATACATTAAGGTTTTAATTATTATGATCTTGCTGCAACAAAATGCTGAACCGTAACTTTTACACTCAGCACATGAAATTTTCATGACTGAAGCCAGTAAAATTCCAACCAGTATATCCATGATTGAATTTAATGTAAAACCCTCATACTTAACTTATTGTTACAATCACTCTGCAATGTCTCAATTTTTTTCCATCTGTGCACTGTCAAAAGCCCCAAACAAAACATCCCCGTTTATTTCACAAAACTGCATTCATAGCACACTTCCAGATTAAAAGCCATCTAAGTCTCTATAGAGATATCTATGCATAGATATTCACACACCAATTAAGAACTCACTAAAAATGAAAGGCCTAAGCATGTTATCTTCAAAGGCAAGAGTACACTCCCTACTGATATAAGTAAGATAGATATGCCTTAACCACACTTGAATGGTCATAGAAGATGTATTCTACATACTATTTTAATTGTTATATTTTTATATTGTGGGAATAAAAATTGTAAAGCACACCAATAAAAAGCAGTATTATTTCTCTTCATGCCTGGTTGAAGCATTACTCACTCTCTTCAATTCAACAAAGGAAAAGGAGAGCTGAATTCTCAGAGTTTATTTTAAAAGCAGAATGTACCGTGCCTTAACACAGGTGACTAGATCCTTAGAAAAGGACATATAAAAAAAAGGCAATTGTTCTGCTGGCAAGGGTATACACCATGTCACTGTAAATTGTCCACAAATAAAAATCATTCTTGCTTGTAATTCTTGTCTGCAACTTTAGCTACACTAGAAAAGTAAGAATATAATCAAGAAAAGAATATAGCATGACAAATGCTTTAGCTTTACTCAACAAAAGCACTTTAGTTTAATCAGTGGAAGAATTTTTCTACATAGGTCACACAGACCCATCAACCCTATCAAATCCAGGTGAATATACAGTTTGCATTGTTAGTGTTGGTCTCCTTTGCTATTCTTCTCCACTAATGTTATATCATACAAGCAATGGTAGTATTCCATGCTATCATTGTCTCAGTTTTATCATTAGCTCCTGCTGTGTTTTTTACACTTGAAGAAAGGCCTCTGAGCCCATAATTTCTTTCCTCATCCTAGTAAACTGTATTTTGAACCAACTGACCCGCAAGTACAAACAAACCAAAGTTCTTTACGAAAGCAGAAACATACTAAATAATTCCTCTACATTTTCTTCCTCTAGTCTCATTCCTGATTGTACTTTGAAAATATATAACATTACATTATGACCCAAATAAGTGCTTTCTTTCTTTAAAATGCTAAAGCACCTTGGAGAACACAAGTTTCCTCATTTTAAAAAATATTATTTTGTGGTATTTTCAATATTATTTACTATTTTTAAGTGGGTTTTCATTAGTTAAATTTCCTTAGAATCAATTTTCAACATGATGTCAAGACTTTCTCACATCAGTGGTCAAATTGACTCAAATCAAAACATCAGATTACTCAGAGGTGCATTAAAGCACATATAACTAATCAACTGCCAATTGAACATGAATTATATTCTAAAAGTCTAACTTTTCCATCAGATCCATAAATAGTTACCAATTACAGCTACCTATAATAATGATAAACTTCTAATCCAAGTGATTTTGGAAATTGTGGGAGTACAGCACCAAATACAATAGCTTATTTAGAAATAAGCTTAGCAATCCTGAATAGGATTGCAGCTTGATGCACTAAGTTCAAACGCACACAAAACCCCCAACCAAACAAAGAAAAAAACCCAAGAAAGAATACTATCCTGAGACTGAATGGCTGTACTGACAAATTTTTTTGTTCTACCAAAGGAACATAAGTACTTGACACCTTTTAATGAAATATTTCTGTCCATCATTAGATACTATAGTTACCTTTTCATGCTCCCATGGATATTAAAAGATCATTTAAGAACACTTATGTCCACTACTCCTAAAGTTTCTTTTCTTTTTCAAGCTGACATTACTCAAAGCTCTATGACTCTGCATCAATAACATGATGACAACATAAGTTCTCAAAATCCATAGCAATGATTCATAAATTCACTTTCAGAAAGCCATGTCATAACATTTAAATTCAAGATGAATTGAAGCCTTAGAAAATCTGAACACGAATTCTTCAGAAAGCAAAACAAAAGAATAATTCATAAATCTGTGCCTATAGCACAGTATGCCATATAGTCTACTTTTACAGTGCAGTTTTGAAAAGTAATCAGAGTTGGCTTACTACTTCACCCACTGAATTAAGAGGTAAAACACTTTTCAATTTCAGTAAAAGGTGAATTACTCCACTGCAGAGATCCGTTTAAAGAATTGTATTAAATCCAGCTCAGGAAATACTTTCACAAAAGTAGTTTTCAGACACTGGCACTATGCATATAGGATAGCAAGCACTATCCCAAACCAAAGGAGAAGACTGAAAGACAACGCACCAAAGAGTCCTGGCTTCCTGTTATTTCACTGGAGACACCTCACCTCTTCAACAGCTACCAGGCAACACAGAAAGCAATCATGAACCATAACCCCCTTCTTTGGGACTGTGCACTCCAAAGACTGTGAGTGCCTTCCCTCATCCCTATCATGATGAGGGATAGCCAAGCCTTTCAACATGCTCTCCTCCACTATTTCCCTGGCACAATTCTAGGAAAAAAAATTTACTTCCTACCAGGTCTGATTAACCACAAGACCACCCAAAGGCTTCCTACATTTATGCTCTGTTATTCCCTGCCAGCCTTTCCCTCTTTGCATGGCCATAGTATTTGGAGCATCACCTGTCAGTGGCACCACGGTGAAACACTCCAAAGCCACTTCCTACCCTAACATCCCCCTCCTGATGAGTCAGTCAGGGTGGACAGGAGTGTGATGGAGAGGTGAAGGGACAGGCACAAAAAGCTAGAGGGATGCTTCACCTCAGCCTCACTGACTCCTGAGGTTTTTGTGTCTCATAGCTACTTGCGAGGACACACTAACACAGGAGTAAGCCATCAACATAACAACTCATTTTCTAAATAGAGCACAAATGTATAGGAAGTGCTGGTGTTACAGTAGTTGTAGTTATCCGGATTTATTTCACAGACCAAAGTGGTCTCTGGTGATTTATGGTAATAAATTCTCCTTGGAAAAGAAAACCACACAGAGATTTAACCAGGAAATAATGACCAAGAGCTTGAAATTAGTACATTAAGAATCCCAGTTGCAATAAAGGAAGACAATGCGCTTTCAAAACTGAGAATAAAAAATAAATTTTCTCTCAATTTATAGAGAATCTTTTTCCCCTCCATATCTGCCAGCATCTTAGAACTCATGCACTATTGAGAATAACAAATATTTCACATTTGCATCCACTGTTTCAGTAATTTGTGTCCGTTTCTTGACAATTGTATTCTTGGACACAGGGCTTTACTCCAAACTGCAGTACTCGGATAATATCACATTCTTCTAGGGCCCAGGTGGTCAGCCAAGGAAAAACAGAAAAGGGTCACACAATCTGAAAGTTTCTAGTTCTCAAGGATTTTTATACCCTCTTGACACAGCATGAACAAGCAAGGCAAATGATAGCTAAAGGAGGTCCTCCACAGCACTTGAGACAACCAGCCCCCAAAATGATTGAGTTTCTCAGAGCTAGTACAATGAAATCTACTAATTACTTATTACTTGCATCACTATAATTCCTAGGAAGATTAGTCACAGAAAGGAATGCCTTTGTGCGAGGGACTGTATAAACACAGAGCAGAGCACAATCACTGATACTGCTGCAACTGCCATCAAAAGGGCAGCCGTTATCAGTGGACAGGATGATGTATATTCTAGAGTAGCTAGGACCACACATTTTTACCATTCTGCCAGAGAAACCTTCTCAAGTTTATTAACTAAGATCTTCTCAGATTCTTCTCTATTAGGATCTTAAGCATCAGAGCTGTGCTACTGCAAGTGGTTGGTGTAATAGAACAGCAGCTTTCCAGGAGCAACGCTATTCTCATTAGGGCTAGCTACAAACTTCAGCCAAGCTGCTTGAAAAAACTCAATACAAATCTAGCAGCACTGACTACAAAAGTCTGAGGCACGCTTTCTGACATGCTGTCAATTGCCGCAGGATGCTTGCCCAGTAATGCAAACCCTGATCCGTGGCACCCTTTTATTCACAGTGCTGCCCTGCTCTCTTTGCCTATAATAATTTCAGACTTTACAGAAGTACAGCCACAATTGCTAACACTGCAGTGTCAGCAATTATGAGATCTTCAGCGCATGCAGGACATGGGAAAACACCAACAGTGTCCCCATACGAGCTGGTGGCAATGTGAAGGCAGAGGCACGGAGCCACAGACACCTGCCCTACCCTGGTGCCCTCGCTGCGGCCGCCACTCGCGGGACAGCGCGGGCAGCCACCACACGCTGAACGGTCGATGGCCCGGGGGACACCTACCGCCACCCTTATCACAACCACGGCTCACACACACACCTCGCAGCTAAAGCACGAGCAGTTTCAACCGGGGCCAAAAGCTAACCAGAGAAGAACACAGACGAAAGCCATGACTTTCCAGTCTATTAAGAGGTTGCAGTTGCTAGCAGCATACACGCCAGCAGATGAACACAGCTGTCACCTCACCAAGCACTACACGTCTGTTTTCGTGCCAACAGGGCCACCGCCTGAATGACGGGAAGACCCGGGCGGGACACTACTCGGCATCGTGGCCACGGACCTCCGCGGGGCAGCCCCGCATCATTCTAGCTGGCATCCCCGGCAGACCTCGGCTTCCCGCCCGCCCTGCACCGCTCCCGCACCGCTCTCGCACCGCTCCGCTGCTGCCGCCAGAGGGGCGGTCGCCGGGCAAGCTCTCGGCTCCAAAACCTCCCTCCGCGGGTACCTATCTCCGGTTATTCACCAGCGGGATGACAAATCTCCCGGACGGGTGTCTGCCCCGTCCTCCCAGACAGCGCTGCGTCCTCATCTCGGCGGCGAGCCGGCCAGCGAGGTGAGTAACCGTGAACTGACTGCACCACAAGAGCGTTTGTTTTGCTTTCCCTTCTCCTCCGCCCTCCGCGTTCTGACACGGAGGCCGTGAGCCGCCGACTCACCCTGTCCCCGCCCGGGCGGGCGGCTCGGGGCAGCGGAGGGGCCGCGCCGCCCCGCACGTCCCCCACCCGCGGGCAGCCGGCGGGGCGCAAGGCCACCGCTGGCCTGGGCACTCACCTGGCGGCGGCAGCGCCACTCCCGCGCAGCCCGGGCCGTGCCCGCGCTGTCATGTGCCCGCCGGCCCCGCTTAACCCTTGCGGCGCTGCCGCTGCCGCTGCCGCGCGGGGGGCGGCGAGTCCCGCCGCCAGCGCCCCCCTCCGTGCTGCCTGCACCGCGGGCACGCCGTGCTTTGCCAGGACGGGGCACGGCTCTCCACAGGCGGGGCGGACCCGAGGGTCGCGCAGCGAGCCTTGGACGAGTTGGCCTTTAAGGGGTCTCTGCCTAGCAGTGTGTATCGAAGGACTAAGGAGCAGCGGGGCCGCGCGGAGCCTGGAGGGAGGATGTTTGCCAGCTCTTTGGGGGCTGCAGCCTAGCTGAAAAGTGATCTGGGGGTCCCACACGGTCTTTAAGGCGACTTCGTGGGGGATTGCAGGGAGATTATAAGGGGGCCTGAATGGGACCTGTCTGTAGAGTGTACGAGAAAATGTAGGACCGAGTAACAGGTAAACAAGGTGAACAGGACCTCGGAAGTGGGAAAGAGGGTGAAGGGGCTTTATGCCTGGTGGCACTTTCCTGAGCACATCTTAGAAAACTGTGGTGTAAATGAAGGAGACTTTCTCAATTATAAGGACATTTGTATATATCAGAGGACTATCAAGGTGATAAAGCTGGAAAGAAAATATTTGGGCAGATCTGCTGCTGCCATCCACTCGGCACAGGAAGATTTTGGCCTCAGGCTAATGATGAGCCTCTTGCAGAAACAGTTGCAGCCAAGAGGTACATGCCACAAAGAGCACCCATTTCGCTGGAGAAGACTCCTGCACATTCAGGGCATGGCCTAGCAGTTGAAACATACTGATTGTTTCAGTTTGGGTCAGCTTCATTCCACTTGGCTCTAACCGGGGAATTGAGAGTGTAAATGAGGTGAACATGAAGGTGAATAAAGCAGCGGAAAAGCCAGGCTGAGGGCAGGAAATTACCCTATTCCTCTACCAGCATGACCATGCAGACTTTATGGCAGGGCACCCTGTCAGCAGGGAAGTCTCCAAGCAAGGGAGCCTACTAGCATGCATGGGCACTCAAGGAGTGCAGCAGGTTCAGGCCTTTCATGGTGAGCATGATCAGCCCAGCATTTAAACACGTTGTTAATACCAGTTGCCCAAGAATGAGAGTGTCATTGTGGCTGTTCTCAACGCTTCTTCCAAGGTGAAGACGAGCCTGTATCCTTGGTGTGCTGCAACAACTGTTAGGAGGAGCGCTGAGGAGAGGGGAGAGTGTCCTTGTAAGCCCAGATCACTGGACAACTCGAGGCCAACCTTGATCCTTAGCTGAATAAGCTCCTTTGCCATTCACTTATATTACATCAAATAAATGTGGCTGTGAAGTTTATAAGAAGTCAATATTGTATGTTCTTTACATACCCAGAAACAAAAGAGATGTTGAGGCTTCAGGCTTTCTTGCAAGGTTACATTGCTTTCCAGTCTTTTTCTTTGTAAGTATGCTTAGGCAGTGAGTTACTTATAAATAAATTTACTACGTATAGGACATTTAAAACAGAAGTATTTGTAAGCTGTGTCTCACTTAAAAATCATGTTAAGAGAACTGACAACTAAAGTGGTCTTTAACACATGAAAGCACAGAATTTACTTGAGAGCCCAAGGAATTTTTGGTTTACTGTCTCTTTATAGGTATCATATGCCAGAATTTTCTATGCAATTATAATTTAGTCAGAACTCATGACTAAAAAGTTCAAGGACTCTCCCTGGACTGACATGATAGACATGGTAATTGAAAATGAGTAATACAATTTTAGACAATAAAAAGGGCATATATTGTCAAAGTGCTTATTGTAATTCAAATCTATCAAATAAATGATGAGTTTGCTTTAAATAAATTGCTTTAAATAAACACTGGTGATATCAGAAACCAAATCTTAGAGCCATTAAAAAAATCTATTTGCTTTATTGAGTCATTTTTATATATGGGAAGTAAATTGCATTAGTTCTTCAACTGAAAAAAGTGATGGATCCTAGCAATGTACCACCTTGGGAAACACATGATCTAAAATACAGTATAAAGGCAACCTTTACACACAGGGTAAGTTTTTGCTGTCATGGGTGCAGCCTGCTGAGCAGTATTGAGCCCAAAGCAAAGAGAACAATCATATTAACAAAGTTGACATTAGACACTGCAACTCATATCTAAAGATAACTCCTAATTTTTGATGTGCTGAAGAAGCAAGTGAAGTTTATGCAAAATATGCCAGAATATGTATTAATGTCAAAATATTAAAAGTATCAAAAATAAGTACATCCAGAGTTTTCTTGGTGGGTAACACTGCTGCATGTCCATATCTGTCATACACCATTGCATGTTCATACGCATACTCATTTTTCACATAAAACACTCACCGTGATTAAAAAAAGGCTGTGCCTTAGTCCTTTCAAAAAGTACGTATCTAATGGAGGTAGTGGACTCAGGAAAGGTCAGTAAAGTTCACTGTGTCAGAATCCACAGCAATATCTGTGGACTTACTCTGTCATACATCCAAGCCCTGAGTGTAAAAATTTTTTTTTGTCACCTCAGTCCCAGTTCAATTTTCTTAGTTTAGTAAAAACTCAAGGAAATGCATAGTTACACCCTATGAAGGTACAGTGAACCTTTAAATAAGGCCTTCAGTTTACAAACTGTCAAACATAGAAGCATTTTCCCAAACTTTTTTCCTAAAAAAAAAAAAAGTGCTCATTATCTTTTTCTTTGTCCCAAAGTCTGTTGGAATAACGCAACACTATGTCCGTCAATTCTTGTGAAGTGTCTTCTTAGCCTGATTCTGGTTGTATTATGCCATTGGGTTTGTTGTCCTAAGGAGTGTTACTCCTAGGCATGTAGAAAAAGATGCTTGCTCATATAGATATTTGTCTCCTTTGTCCTAGAGAAAGACCATTTTTATGAGGGAGCCCTCACAGGACATGGTCAGTGGCTAAAGCTGTCTGAAAAGAGCTCATTCAATGGGAAGAAAGAAATTGCCTGAAGAGGAGACTATTTGTTTTGTTTGATGGTATTTTTAGAGGCCTTTTTGAGTGAGGGGATGTTGTGGTTTAACCCCAGCCAGCAACCAAGCCCCACACAGTCACTCACTCACTCCCCCACCAACAGGATCAGGGGGAGAATTGGAAGGATAAAAGATAGAGAACTTGTGGGTGGAGACATATACAGTTTAATAGGGAAAGCAAAAGCTGCCCACACAAGCAAAGCAAAACAAAGAATTAATTACTGCTTCCCATGGACAGGTAGGTGTTCAGCCATCTCCAGGAGAGCATGGCCTCCTCGCACCTCACAGTTACTTGGAGGGGCAAACACCATCACTCCAAAACTCCCCCTTCCTCCTTCTTTCCCCGAGCTTTTTATGCTGACCATGATGTCATTGGGCTGGAATATCCCTCCAGTTAGTTTGGGTTATCTATCATGGCTGTGTCTCCTCCCAGCCTCTCATGCACCCCCAAATTTCTTGCTAGCGTGGCAGCAGGGAAAGCAGAAAAGGCCTTGGCTCTGTGCATGCACTGCTCAGCAATAACAAAAACATCACTGAATTACCATTTTTGTTCAACACAAATCCAAAACATAGCCTCATACCAGCCACTGCAAAGAAAATTAACAAGGAATGTGACAATCTGAGGATACAGCTGGTTTAAGTTTCCTTCATCTCTTTCTCCTGTATACCAGTAACAGCAGAACTGAGTTTTTAGGAAAGAAAACTAGGTAGAAAAATTGCAAGACAAATTTTTTTTGTTGCATTTCTGTAGTAAATCTGAAAATATATTTTGACCTCGACACCTTGGAAACAGTGGCAGTCAGTTTAACTGGAGGGCAAGATCCTTTTGAAAATAGACTCTCAAGTATACCTGGAATAGAATGATACTTGGTTAGAGAACACTAAAAGAACTAGAAGGGTTTGTCTGTAGATGCCTCAGACATACTAACTAGAATGAACCCAAGTCTGAACATTCATTTCTCAGATGCAAATAGATATGCAGAAGCTTTTTCAATTTTTTTTTTGTGGTGATTTAAAAAAATCTTGTTAACTGAGTGTTTTGGTCTAATTCTTTAATTTTTCCTCAGATCTTCATTTCATATCTATTCTATTTTCCTAGTTACTGCGTAACTGAGAACAGTATTTTTGGTAGTTAAGGTGATAAGACAAAAGTTAAAGTAATCACAGGAATTCCATCTTGAATAACATAATGTATAACAGGTATCTTTTACTGACATCAATATATTTGAGTATCATAGAACTGGGTTTTCCTGGTTTAGCAGCACAAGCAAGTCTTACATCTCTCCCATCTCAGCTCAGACTGACTTCTTGGCAAGAAAGAGTGATCCAAAGTTGTGATCCTATCATCCACAGTCCAGCATCTCAAGGCTGATACCTCTTTCTGTTTAGTAGAACAAATGGGGTATTATGGGCATGGGTTCTGGGGCCAGATCCCTTTTTTTTTTCATTTTTCCAATGATAGGTCAGAGGTTCCATTTACCTACACACCATATGAGATCAAGGAGGGCTGTCTGATATTATCATGACACATCAGAGCCACAGAGTTTTGTTTTCTGTGTAATTCGATTTCCCACTTCTATATCCAGACTTCAAGAATAATACTTTTGTAGTGGGTTTTACTTACTACACGGGAGGTAGGCAATATATTTCTTTTCTCATTGCAATAAACTAACACTATGAAAAGCATATTGCTAAGATCTCAAAAACTCCTACAAATCACTTAATCTCCTTGCAGCTCCAGTGATTCACCCTGCACTCTGGAGTGATGTATAAAGGCTGTTCCATTCACACTCTTTAACATAAGCTCTCAGCTGGAGAGAAAGCTGTCTGTGGAATAAATATGAAGAAAACATATGCATTCTACTTACCTCATCAAATAAATTGAGTTTGATTCTCCAGTATTCTTATACAAACAAAACTGATGCTCGTAAAGAAGATTCATTTAATTAAAATGTAGACCAGTTTTATATGGTATGAACACACATACAGAACTGTTGCAGAAGAATGCAGTCACTTTCTATAACAGTACAATACCATGTATCTTTAAGGTCAGGAACTAAAATTACTAGATGAAAATTATTGCAAGGGAGTTCTGGGTTCCTATAATAC